TAAGGGTGCCAATGTGAAGCCAGGCAGTGTAGGAAGAGATACGAATGACCTGATAGCCCGTGACTGAGCGGATTTTGGATTGGCATGCAAGTCCCCTCTCGGACCGTCTCCCTCGCCTTCTCTATGAAATCGTTCATGTTGTTTTCTTTCCTTCACTAATGTTCCCCAGTGGCCCCACAATCTCTCCTCTTCTGAAGCGTTGACTCCCCGTAGAGTTATGGTTCTACATTTAGTGTCGTCCCTGCAACTAACCCTGCCCAAGTGGCCGCTCTTCACTCTGGGCCTTGGACAGTGAGAGTTGCTGACCTCTTTGAGCAGGAGAGGAATTGCCCCTCAGTCTCCTACACTCTAGGGGAAAAAGGTTCCAGCCTATCCAGCCGCTCCTCATAACTCAAACCTTCTAGTCTGGGTAGCGTCTTAGTAAGTCTTTTCTGCATTCTTTCTAGTTTAACAGTATCCTGTCTGTAGTAGGGCGACTAGAAGTGCATGCAGTTCTCCAAATATGGCCTCACGAACATCTTGTACAGCTGTAACAAGACAATCACTAGTGGAACACACACCTCCATAAGGCTGTGCAAACGTCATGTTAAACAATCAAATGCACTGCTGTTTCAGGATTACAATTATTTAGCGAATCCTCAGGGCTTTTCCCTGCCTTGTCAATGGTATCTGGCAACAGCACTGGAAAAAAGAGATTTTTGTTTCTGAAGAAGGAGACTTAAGGCCAAACGACAGCCAACAACCTGTCCTGAAAACTCTGCTCACATCTTTGACAACTGTTACAAATTTCACCACAGCAGCTGGTATAATCCACATCATTCAATAGCAATCTATAGCATCCAAAATAAGAGTTTTTTTTTAAAAAAGAAAAAGCCAGCTTGTCCTACCTCCTAGTGATAATGAGTCCTTCAAGGTCCAGAATTCCAAGATCCAAAGGCAAATCTTCACCAAAAAGTGATCCTTGGTCAGTACCCTATCTGTGTGCCAAGTTTCACTGAATTCCATCCATGAGATTTTAGATACATTGTCTACAAGCTAACAAGCCAGGGTGAAGCATTATCTCTGTCCAGCCTCAATGGCGGAGGTAATAAAATATACTCGGAGGCATTTCGTATGCAGATGTACACTTAAGTATGCACATGTGACCAACTAATGGTAATACCGAGCAGGTCAGGTTCCAGAATGAAATCTGGCTCGATAGGTGAAATGTTTTCATTTGTTTAGCTGCTTAATGTGTTAAACATATTGACATGAGACTGCAGCTTTCTTTAGCGGCAGAATAGATCCATAATCTATAAATATTGAAGACTGTCAAAAATCAAATATTCAGCCTGTTTTCCAATGCTATCCCTTCCAGAGACTCAAGGCTAGAGAAATGTCTACCCCTACCTTAATACCTTCAGTTTCTACTGAACTGACTCGTTATACTTACTTTGCTGTGGTCTGTGGAGATAATGCAGTGGGGTCTAATCCAAGTCTGTTGACATGAACTTTTCACAAATTTGAGAGCCTAAACTTTCTCAGTTCTAATGTCGCTCAGCGGTTAGAATTGCTGCCTCACAGCACCAGGGACCCGGGTTCGATTCCACCCTCGGGCGACTGCCTGTGTGGAGTTTGCACATTCTTCCCGTGTCTGCGTGGGTTTCCTCCAGGTTCTCCAGTTTCCCTCCCACGGTCCAAAGATGTTCAGGCCAGGTGGATTGGCCATGGGAAATTGCTCATAATGTTCAGGGATGTGTAGATTGGGTGGGTTATAGGAGGATGGGTCTGGGTGGGATGCTGTGAGGGATGGTGTGGACTTGTTGGGCCGAAGGGCCTGTTTCCACACTAGGAATTCTATGATTCTATGATAATGACCTACAGATTTCTAAACAAGGTTAGGGAGCTTAAGGTGAGGGAACCCCTAAGGGGCAGTGACCATAATATGGTAGAATTCACCCTGCAGTTTGAGAGGGAGGAGCTGGAATCAGACATAATGGTATTACAATTGAATAAAAGTAACTACAAAGTTGTGAGGGAGGAGCTGACCAGAGTTGATTGGAAGGGAAGCCTAGCAGGGAAAATCGTGGAGCAGCAATGGCAGGAGTTTCTGGGATAATTTGGGAGGCACAACAGAACTTCATCCCAAAACGGAAGAAATATACTAAAGGGAGGATAAGGCAACCGTGTCTGACAAGGGGAGTCAGGGACCAGCATAAAAGTAAAAGAAAACACCTACAATATGGTGAAGATTAGTGAGAAGCCTTTTAAAAACCAGTAGAGGATAACTGAAAAAGCAGATGGGGGATATGAGGTTGTTAGCTAGTAATATGAAATAAGATGCAAGAGGTTTTTCTTTTTAGATAAGGAAAGAGAGAGTCAAGAGAGATCATTGGATCACTGGAAAATGAGGCTGGAAAAATACTAATGGGGAGCAAAGAAATGGCAGACAAATGGGACAAGTACTTTGTATCAGTTTTCACAGTGGAAGACACCAGCAGCATACCAGAACTACAAGAGAGTCAGGGAGCAAACGTGAATGTAATGGCCATCTTTAAGGAGAAGGTGCTAGGGAAGATGATAGGTCTGAAGGTGAATAAATCACCCGGACTGTACCCCAGAGTTCTGAAGGAGATAGCTGAGGAAATTTGAGGCGTTAGTGGTGATCTTTCAGGAATCACTGGAGTCCGGGAGGGTCCTAGAGGACTAGGAGATAGCTTGTGTAACACCCCTGTTTAAAAAGGGAGGGAGGCAGAAGACTGGAAATTACAGGCTGGTTAGCGTGACCTCAATCGTTGGTAAGATTTTAGAGTCTATTATTGAGGATGAGATTGCAGAGTACTTGGAAGTGCATGGTAAAATAGGGCTTGAGTCAGCACGGCTTTGTCAAGGGGAGGTCCTGCCTGACAAATCTGTTAGAATTCTTTGAGGAGGTAATGAGCAATTTAGACAAAGGAGAGCCAGTGAACATGATCTATTTGGCTTTCCAGATGGCCTTTGACAAGGTGCTACACGGTGGCTTGCTAAATAAGACAAGAGCCCATGGTGTTAGGGTCAAGGTACTGACTGGCCTAGATAGAGGATTGCCTGACTGGCAGAAGGCAGAGAGTAAGGATAAAGTGGTCTTTTTCAGGATGGCAGCTGGTGACTAGTGGAGTTCCACAGGGGTCAGTATTGAGGCCACAACTATTCAAATTATACGTGAACAATCTGGACGAAGGAACTGAGATCATTGTTGGTAAGTTTGCAGATGACACAAAAGTAGGTGGAGGGACAAGGTAGTGTTGAGGAAGCAGAGGCTGCAGAAGGACTTGGACAGGCTAGGAGAGTGGGCAGAGAAGTGGCATACCCAGCAGTATAAACCTGTTTTGTTATCACCACAGAGATCTGCAATCATACGCTTAATGACAACTGCTGAATTTAGTCACTGTCCTGGAAAAACTGTCCGACCTTGTTTTATTTTTTCAAACAAAAATCTTCACAGCAGTAACCAACAGCTATCTGCCTGTAATTTGAAATCCAAATTCTGAAAACAATATTAATGTTTATAAATTATGCATCTTTCATCACAATCTATGTGTATTTGTGTGTGTGTGTGTACATATTCACACATAAACATTTACATATCATTTGCACAGAAGCATTGGACTAGTGAATGTCTTCAAGCTTCTAAAAATGTTATTGAATAGCCATTTGAGTGAGCTAGTATGGCAACGATGGACTAAATGGGCACATTCTGTGCTGCATGAAGCTATGTTTCTATGTAGCACCCATTGAGTGAAAAGGAAACAATTGTATTATTGGGAAGACAAAGACTTGATTGAATAGGTTTATGGATACAGCTTGTTTGACTAATGTCATGACAGCTATGTTCCACCCAGATTAAACAGCCCTCATTCACTCTTGTATTCCACTGCCAGTTCCCATTCCAATAAAACTCTTATCACTAGCAAGAGACCTGACTTGCTCTTTCTAAAAAAAAATTGAACCTTAACCTCAATCCCAAAATTTTTTTCCTCATCTTGTGCACATTGTACAGACAGGTGGTGACATGGTGGATTAGGAATCTAGAGACCCAGGCTAACCATAAAATCCCCACAGTGTGAGGCAGGCCATTTGGCCCTTCAAGTCCATATCATCCCTTTGAAAATCATCCCACCTAGAACCACCCCCCTACCCTATCCCTATAACCGCACATTTCCCATGGCTAATCCACCTAACCTGCATATGCTTGGACTGTGGGAGGAAACCGGAGCACCCAGAGGAAACCCACACAGACACGGGGAGTATGTGCAAACTCCACACAGACGGTCGCCGGAGGGTGGAATCAAACCCAGGTCCCTGGCGCTGTGAGGCAGTAGTGCTAACCACTGAGCCACTTACTGCCCCTGCATTGGTGACGTGCATACAAATCCCACTGTGGCTGCTGGTGGAATGTAACTTATGGAATCTCGCTTCTGTAATGGTGACCACAAAACTGCGTTGTATAAGTCCACCTGGGACCTGAATGAGTTCTGAGAGTGAGCATTCGCACACTGATGAAATCTGCCAGGTCTGGCCTCCATGTGACTCCAGGCTGAAAACAACTGTTGACTGTTTGAAATAATCTTGCAGCTAGTCTGTTAGGTGTGGGCGACAATGACTGGCCTTGCCACTGATGGCCACTACCGATGAAGGAATAATTGGGGAAAATGAATGGATTGGCGGGAAAAGTAGAGTTCAAGTGTTTGTGCGCTCAGAGCTGACTGTTCCATGGGTGCTTTGGCAGAGGGACACCCTGCTGCAACTTGTCTGCTTTTTATTTTAAGAAAGTCGTCCTCCCGTGCATGGGTGGAGGAAGCATTTCTTGCAGAATGTTCAGCTTCTGTTGAGGAACAGACACTGACAATGTGCCTGATGCTGCGTGTAATTCTGACTCATTCCTCTTTGTAACACAGCACACTGCTCTCCGCAGCCTCTGACTCTGTTTTCACCCAAGCTCCTCCTCACTGATCCACGTATTGCTATTCTGCCATTTACAGGAAGCCAAAGAAGAGAAGTCTTTCTTTATCTGTCCACTGTGTGAGAAGGACTGTGGAACCCAGCACCAGTTAACAATGCACATTCGACAGGTAGGTTGTGGTTTGTGGCATCACTCTCTCAACTTGAGGCTGTTCAGGCCCGGTGCACTTTGTCGTTAGCTCTGATGTGGTGAAAAGTTATACTCTGCCTCACAAGCCTTTACCATAAGTCAAGTGTTCTTGAATTAGTAAAGTCACGTTACAAAGGAAGAAAAAGCAAACAAAAGGCACAGTTGCACAATGCACTTTCAGAACGTTTTATAATTCGGAAGGCAGATCTTTGCGAGCAGTGTGTTTGTCTGTGTGAGAGAGAGAGAGATGGGTTCGATTCAGTGTGATGGCTAACTTCTGTTTGCATCACAGGAAGAACTCATGGGTGTTGTAGTTAACTGCAGTGCAAATAATGCACCCAGCACTTCCCTGCCCCCTGCCAGGGTATGAGCTGAATTAAAGTGGCACAATGTTGCATTGAAGTGAAAAGTATCGAGGTAAAGCTCCATCTAAGCCTGTAAAAACAATCATCTTGCCTGTACTATGAAGCTTCCCATTGTCATGTTTAATTACGGCTGTCGTAACCTGCACCACGTCCCTTTATAGAAACCCCACACAAACTCAATCACTGTGTGTGTGTGTGTGTGTGTGTGTGTGTGTGTCCCCTCCTCACATTGTGCAATTTGACCACAACTATCTCGCACTACCTACTGTGCAGGGTGGGACAGGGGCTCAGTGGTTAGCACTGCTGCCTCACAGCACCAGGGACCCAGGTTCGTTTGCACCCACGGGTAACTGTCTGTGTGGAATTTGCACATTCTCCTCCGTGTGCTCTGGTTTCCTCCCACAGTCGAAAGATGTGCGGGTTGTGGTCATGCTAAATTGTCCATAATGTCCAGGGATGTGTAGGTTAGATGGATGAGCCATGAGGAATGCAGGGTTGTGGGTCAGGATGGGCTGCTCTTTAGAGGGTCATTGCGGACTTGATGGACCAAATGGCCTGCTTCCGCACTGTAGAGATTCTGTGATACCTTCTGAAATTTATATCCATACACCATAGCTTTTCTCAGTGACTGACATTTCAAACGTTGAAAATAAGGGAGTTAAATGAAAATGAGAAGTTGTACAGTTTTACACTGTGCAAGCGCACGAAACAATCTTCCATGAGACCAGGCAACAACAATAAGTGTCATCTTCAGGTGAAGCAGTGTTAGAGGGCATGAGATAATTGGAATAGCTGTGCAGATGCAATTCGATCCGCATTTTAAAGTCCTATCTGTGTGCTTACTTTTTAAATTCCACTTCAGGATGTAGTTGCAAAGTGATCAGTTTACATTCGCAGTTTTCCTTTTGAAAGTTGTCCTGTAACTTTTTTGCTCTAAATAAGTTTTGAGAAGCTTTTCTTTTAAATGAAAGTGTTGGAAGCTAAACAATACAGTGTTGTACTGGTCCATCCTGGCAAAGCAGACATACTGCATGAAACTCTGAATCCATTATCCTGGATAAACTCTGAGCTACAGCTCTGGGCTACAAATAGACAAGTTCAAGTTAATCCCAGTCTTTTGGGAGAGATGTTAATTAAGAACTTAAAGGAGGTGTTGAAAGACCCAAAAGACAATTTGATGAATAAATGTAATCATGTTATTGGGGTAACGCCATCTTTATTTTTAGAAAATTAGTTTATACCTTATGATTCTGCAACACCATCTACAAGTCAGGAGTGTGATGGAATACTCCCCACTTGCCGGGATGGGTGCAGCCCCAACAATATTCAAAAAGCGGACACCAACCAGGACAAATCACCCTGCTTGATTGGTGCTACATCCATCACCTTCAATGCTCATTCCCTCCACCACTGATGTGCAGTAGTAGCAGTCTGTACTGTCTACAAGATGCACTGCAACGACTCACCAAACTCCTTTGACAGAACTTTACGAATCTGTGACCTCTCTCACCTAAAAGGATAGATACATAGGGACACGCACCACCCACAAATTTCCCACCAAGACCGCAGAGCACCTTGACTTGGAAATATCACTGTTCCTTCACTGCCCCAAGGTCAAAATCCTGGAACTCGGTCTCTAACAGCACTGTGGTGTCCCGACAACTGATGGACAACAGCAAAGAAGTTCAAAAGAGGGAGCTCACCAACATTTTAAGGGCAATTAGGAATGGGCAATAAATGCTGGCCCAACCAGTAAAGTCCTGTGAATGAAAAGTGTGCCCTTATTTGAGGCATATGGAAAAGCTGTATCACTGAGGGTGAACAAATGGTTACGGGGAAACGCTTTGAATGATTGTGATCACATTTTGTATGAGTTTGCATAGCAAAACCCTGTAGTGAATGTGCGCAATGGTGTTTATTACAGAGGCAAATATAATGCAGAATGTGTGACAGAAAATGTGACAATAGAGCATCAGCTTTTGCAGGCAGGAAGGATGCACAGACACTAGTTACTGAATAATGTTTTCCATTTTGTCATTCTGTTAAAAATAATTTGCCAGCTGACCAGCAATTGGTGTCATAGTCGAGATGATCTATACACCATCTCTATCAGACTAATCCTTTATGGTGCATTCATGCAGCAACAGGGTGGAAATTAATAATTTAAGACAAAAAATATATTTGAAACTGGCCTTTTCTAAAATATAACTTTTTGACTTTTAACAGAGACTAAAGTAGATTTTGGGATTGCTCTCACGGAAGGGAGATTTTTTGTGACAATGCCAGTATTGGATTCCATTATGGTTAGGATTTTCATTCAGAACTGATTTCAGGAAAGCTACCTGTAACGTGTAACATAAGGGTGGGCTCCATTAAACCTGGTGATGCTGGTTTCAAGGCTGGGACCTGACCTGGGTTTCGGCTGGATGGGTGAGGGGAAAATAGGGCAAGGTACAATGGGCCAGTAGTGTCCTTTTTACCCATCATGCTCTGTGTTTGCTCATGTCGCTACCTGGGGCTCCTTGTGTCTCTGCAGCACAATACAGATAGCGGAGGGAACACCCATTCCTGCAGCATTTGTGGCAAGTCTCTGAGCTCCGCCAGCTCCCTAGACCGTCACATGTTGGTCCACTCGGGAGAGAGACCGTACAAGTGTTCGATATGTCACCAGGCTTTCACCACCAACGGCAACATGCACAGGTGAGTACCAGTTGCTCAGGGTGGAGATGGTGAGGAAGCGGTAATGGTCACCATGGAGATGGTGGGGAAGCGGTAATGGACACTGTGGAGATGGTGGGGAAGCGGTAACGGTCAC